ATTAGTGTAGAACTTAAGTATTCTTAGCAATTACGCTAATAAGATTTGATTATTTATTTTTGATCACTTACAAGCTATTTTGTTGGTACTAATTTAGGTGAGAATGAGTGGTAAAAATGAGATATTGATAAACCTTACTGGTCAAAAGAAAAGAGTTGACAGAAGAAGGGGTGAATCTGAAACCACCAATGTTCGAAATGAGTAAATTAATAATCAAAATGCTCCTATGACGCAAGATGATTTAGCTGGGGTGTGTCAGGTGGTGTCTAATTTGATACAACAACAGCAGATACAAGAAAACCTGCAACAACATGAGACAACTTATGAACGATTTCGAAGGGTTAACCCACCTCAATTTGAAGGCAACCCTAATCCTTTGGTTACAAAAGCTTGGGTTAAAGAGTTGGAAAAACTCTTTAAGGCGATGCGAATCTTTGAGGATCTGAAATTAAGCTTGGCTATCATTCAACTAAGGGGAAATGCTGAATACTGGTTGGATACCATAAATCCCACATTTGAAGATTCAGGTAAGCCTTTGACTTGGGGAAACTTTAAAGAAATTTTCTTTGATCAATATTTTCCAAAGTCAATGAAAAAAGAGAAAGAGAATAAGTTTCTACAGTTGCAGCAAAAGCATGATATGTCTATGCTGGAGTATGCCAACAAGTTTAATGAGCTGGGACATTTTTGCACTTGCATCATTGACTCAGATAAGAATCAGAAGATACGATTCGAGCATGGGTTGAAGCCAAGTATTTGGTCTTATTTGTATTCTTACATAATTGATAGTTACAAAGATGTGTTACAGTGAGCACTGAAGATCGAGTTAGACATGAAAAGATATGAGCAAGAAATGGGTAATAAGAAATGCCCGATGTTTGAAGAAGATCAGAGTAATCGCCAAAAGAATGTAAGAGGAAACATAGGTAAGAAATGGGGGATGAAATCTGGTACTAAGCTCGAGAAATATGACTTTTACGAGTGATTTCATTTTGGACCATGTCTTAGGAAAGTAGAAGTTTGCTTTGAATGTGGAAAATATGGGCATATTGCATAGAATTGCCCAAACAAGAAGAATGATGTTGTTAAAGCTAAACTGATAGAATAACCACAAAAGGGAAATGCTTGAGTTTTCACTTTGACTTGCCAGGATGCTAATACAAGTGACAATGTGGTGACAGATACTGTTCCCATTAATCATGTCCATGCCAATGTTCTGTTTGATTCCGGTGCCTCTCATAGCTTTGTATCTGTCAAGTTTGCTACATCTTTGAGTATTGAACCTGAAAAGTTGAATGAGCCTTTATATGTTTCTACTCCTATAGGAAAAATTGTGTGTGTTGATACTGTTTATAGTAATTATGTTGTACACATAAGGGGTTATGAATTGTTAGCGAACTTGGTGCAGTTAAAGATGCTAGAATTTGATGTAATCTTAGGGATGAATTGGTTGTCTATACATCATGCATTTATTGATTGCTATAGAAAGAGAGTAGTGTTTCAGTGTCCAGGATAACTAGAACTTGTATATGAAGGTGATCATTTGAGCCCTTCGTGTCAGATTGTGTCGATCTCAAGTGCCATGCAATCTTTAAAGAAAAGGTGTCTAGGCTACCTCGTCTATGTGAAAGACACTCAAATAAATGTAGGCTCACGATTAGAAAATATTTCGGTTGTTAGGGATTTTCTTGATATCTTTCCTGAAGACTTGCCTAGCCTACCTCCTAATTAGGAAATTGAATTTGAAATTGATCTTATCTCTAGAACTGGACCAATATCTAAGCTTCCTTATCATATGGCTCCATCTAAGTTACGTGAGTTAAAGGTACAACTTCAAGAACTATTAGAGAAAAAGTTCATTCATCCTAGTGAGTCACCTTGTAGAGCTTTTGTGTTATTTGTTAAAAAGAAAGATGAGAGTTTGTGCTTATGCATTGATTATAGAAAGTTAAATAAAGTGACTGTGAAGAATAAATATCCTTTTTCCTCAAATTGATGACTTGTTTGATCAATTACAAGGGGCAAAGGTCTTTTCAAAGATTGATTTGCAATCTGGATATCATCAGTTAAAGATTAAGGTGGGTGATATACCCAAGACTGCTTTCCGAACTAGGTATGGCCATTATGGATTTTTGGTTATGCCTTTTGGATTAACAAATGCACTTGCTGCATTTATGGACTTGATGAATAGAATCTTTAAGCAGTATCTAGATCAATTTTTATTGTTTTCATTAATAACATTTTGGTTTATTCTAAAAGTGATGGGGAAAATAAGAAACATTTGAGGATTGTATTATAGATCTTGTGGGATAAACAAAATATTTATGAAGGCATTTTTTGATATAGCCACCTTCAATAATCCGACCATTAAAATTTATCGTTGGGAACATTAAAGGAGTTTTGAGCCAAAAATGCCTTCAAGCATCCCATCCAAGTTTTTTCTATGAAATATTGAAGGCATTTTTTACAAAATCGCTTTTAAAAATCACCAAAAAAATTTAATGATTAGATTATAGAATGCGAGTTCGACCAAAAACTCCTTCAAGAATTGACTCCATATTTTTCCTATGGATTATTAAAGGCATCTCTCCACGAAAAACGCCTTCAATATTCTATGAAAATTTTTTAAAGCAATTGGTGAAGGCATTTTTGCCAAGAAAATACCTAGAATAATCAATAACAAATAATCTGTGCAAAAACTCAAAAAAAAAACTAAAGGATGGATTGAACCAACAATCTTATGGTAAACATCCGTACGATCCAAATAATTTGATAAGCTTAATATTAAATGTATTTTTGAATAAAATAAATTCAATAAGCTTGCAAAATTTTTTGGTCCAAATATTAAAAGCATTTCTTGTAGACAACGCCTTCATTAATCTCATACAATTTTTTATGATGTGATTATTGAAGGCGTTGTCTACCAAAAATACACCTTAACTATTTATTGAAATTTTTAATAAAAAATATTCAAGGCATTTAAGTTTTAGAAATGCCTCTAATATCAAGTTTTGGATGACGTTTATAAGTAACAATGCCGCTATTTGAATATTTAGTGGCGTTTGGATAATAAACATCTAAAATTTTATAAAAATACGGAAGCTAGCGGCATTTATAAGTAAAAGATCACTACAAAATTGCTGCTAATATGCCATTTTGCTGTAGTGTGTGATGTCATCTTTTAAAATGTTAAGAAATTATTAGGGACACAAGATCTGGAAGAAGAGACAAGAGAGGGACATTGCACGAGCTTGACTCTTGCTGATGCTTTTCACTCGGTTTTAAGTCAAGATTGGAGCTTAATGGAATGCCCACTTGCAAGATGGAGACGGTAAAGAGGGGACCATGAATTGATACCATTAAAAAATTAGAAAAAAGTATATGATCATTATTTTATCCATCTGGTGGAGCTTTTTAATTTTATAAATAAATTTATATGATTGATTTTTTTAAAAGAAGTTACAATTTAAAAATAAAAGCTTGGGTTATAAACGTTATAATTTAAATTTCATATTTATTAAATATAAATAATTATATAAATTAATTAAATTAAATTTTAAATAGTTATTTTTATATTTGATCCCTTATCACTGAAATTAATAATCTAATACTCTATTAATAAATTACATAATTATTGGCTAAACTCTAAAATTATTATTATATAATTATTATATTTGTAATAATTAATTCAGACTTTATCATATAATAAACTCCAAATTCATTATTGCAGATAATTGTTATATTTTCATTATTAATTTAATATATTTTAAATAAACACGTATCATTTCTTTAAGCCCGTTTTATATACGAAGTTAAAATACCTCACTAATGATGTATAATAGACTTAAATCAATAACAAATTGGAATAAGCTCTAACATATACCACTAACAATTGGAATTTATTTAGAAATGGACTATCATATCAACACAAAGGGACAACGAAGTCAGAGAAAGTAAAGAAATAAAGTATAGAAGGTTAATTTTAATAACAGAAAAAAAATTAAAGAAAGTTAAATCAATAATATTTATTACAAAATTGATTTCGCATTTAACTTTTCTTACTTTCTAAAGATATGTAAACATTGTAATAAAGATTATAACCATGATTTCTTTAATTAAGGAGGTGAGGCCTTTGTTCTTCCCTAATTCGTCCCTGTCAAACAAAATACAATATCTATCATATAAATGTGAAAAACTTTGTCCTCTTCACTGTACATTGCTTGAAAAATAAATATAAAAAACCATTTTTTCTTTTATATTTTTTTCTCAGAATAGAAGAATATTGAGGAAATATTGCGGAGGCCAAAAGGATCCAATTCAAAGAAGTAGAGTACTCTACCCACTTTAAAATTAACAAAGACAAAATATCCATATCCACAAAAACTAAATCCAAATTATGACCACAAAACTATAATCTTAACATGTCATTCATTAAATCATCATCTAAATTTATATATTGACTACAAGTTACATAGGTATTAACAAAGAAAATTCTAGCAGTCAAAAAAAAAAAAAAACGAAAGGATACATGTAAAACTCATACGAGAATCTCTCCTATTTATATAATTAAATAAAATTATAGAACCCTTACCACTTTAGGCTTGAAAAATGTCCTTTGTTTTCATCAACTCCCTATAAGACCGAATCGAAACATTTATTAATAATTGTCAGAGAAAAATCTTCAGTTTGAGGTTCAGTCGTAACTCCTACCCTCTTGTAAAAAAGAAAAAGAAGATTATAATAAAAAGGAATAGTTATTTGTAGAGAACGATTATACCTTACCTATAGGAGCATAGTTTGTTCTATTTTCTTTCTCCATTATCGGATTTTTTTCACTCTAATATATTTTTGTTGACCTCTCTCAATCATCCTGATGAACCACCATGGTTTTCCAGTTGTGAATACAATGTATCCCATGCTCAATCCGAACACCAATCCACATCCATAACCCATCAGCATTGCAAATTTCCAACTTAATGCTCTTGTTGTCGGTGTTGGCTTCAATTTCCTATCATTACTGCAACTCCTTGACAATGGGAATCCACATAAACCCAAATTCCCATTGTAAGAATCATTTTCAAAAGTATCAAATTGATTGCCTTGAGGAATAGGTCCGATAAGATAATTATGAGAAAGTTCAGCACCTCTAAAAATACAAGATTTTTTAGTTGTGCTGGAATTTCTCCTTCGAGCTTGTTCGATGAAAGATCCAATGATTCAAGCTCTGACAAATCACCGAAAGATGATGGGATAGGACCTGTTAAACTATTGTGAGAGAGGTTGAGGACTATAAGTGAATGAAGTTCACCAAGTGAATTAGGAATTTCCCCAACGAATTGATTGTTCGAAAAGTCAATCACCATCCAAGTGGTTAATAGTGCCTGAAATTCTGTTTCCAACCCTTTTATTGTAAAAGTAAGATTTTGAATATAATACACCACTCCATCAGCCGATGCATCCATCATGTACTCTGGCTTAACTTTCTTTTCACACCTTTCCCTTATGGCTTGCAAATTTTCAAAAAAATTCGTCGGTAAGTATCCACTGAAGTGATTGTGAGAAAGATCAATGACACGCACACGAGTGAAGGAAAATGTAACTTTGGAGTTATCTACGTGACCATAAAATCTATTCGATCTCAAGACAAGAACCTGTAGGTGATCCAAGTTTCCCAACCAATTAGGAAAAGTGTCATTTAAGTTGTTCTTCCCCACATCTAGGAGTTCCAAGTCTTTGCAATTACCCAAAGATCGTGGTAGTGATCCTTCTAATTGGTTGTTGTTGATCTCAAAACCTCTCAAAGAACAACCTTTAGCAAAATTTTCAGGTAATTTCCCATGAAAATTATTCTTACGTAGAACAATGTATAAGAGAGAGCTCAAGTTTCCAATACATTTTGGAATAGTTCCACCCAAATTATTCTCATCCAAAATAAGACCTAGAAGGGAACTCAAGTTGCAAATTGAGGAAGGCATTTCTCCAACTAAATTATTCTCTGAAACAGATAACCAATGCAATGAAAGTGGTGCAGTTGGAAAGCGTCCTGGGAGAAAATAAGGAATAAATCTAGGTTAGGAGTTTGAAGATTATATGAAATTAAAAAAATGCAAATAAACTATGTTTGTGATGTAACGTATGCAAATAAAATGCATATGTCAACCAAGACAAATGACAGGATAATTTACCCCACAACATCTTGCCATGTCTAAGTGCGTGGCTGCACTATTAATCGGACAACCATAAGTTGAATTAGAAAATTCTATTAGTACGTACGTAACAATATTGGAGCACACTATGAAAAAAGTAATCACTCCATCAGTCTCTCTCCGATTCTCCCAAATTCTTTGTCTCTCTATATGACTTTCACAAAAACTAAAAGAAAGAGTTTTGAGTTTATTGTATTTTATATTAAAATTTTAATTTTTTATAGCTAATATCTATATGATTTTATTTTCAAAAGTTAAAAAAATCATGAAAAATAATTTCCAGATATATAACATAACATTAACACAAGTAAGAAACTTTTTCGATGTTCAAAAAGAAAAAGAAAAGAAAGATGGTGTTAGGTCATTAAAAAGAAAAAACGTTGTATAAAAAAAAAAAAGAAGACACCAATAGTTATGTGATCCCGTGATAGAATATTATTAGGATTAACTCAAAATTCTATAAGAAATGTATTTTAGACTTTTTTTTAGATTGATTAGATATTGTTAGATGGATAAAAAGATTTGTAAGAGAAAAATTTTAAGTGGCAAGGGATTATTGATAGCCAAATTTGCATGTTTATAAATAACGAGAGCCTTTATAGGATTAGGTATGAAAAAAAAATATAAAAGAATTTTAGAGTTATATTTAATAGACACCTTATAGGAATAAAGTAGATTGAGAAGGTTCTTATGGGTGTGTATATTTAAGTGAACTAGAGGAGAATCAAAATGACATAAGTATGGTGAACCACATGAGTATGTACTTGTTTAAGTTGAAATACTTCATAAGATTAGAGAAAAATAAATGCATCCACGTAGGTATAGTAAACCACATGAGTATGCAATTGTTTGGGTTGAAAATACTCCATAAGATTATAAAAAATTGAAATGGTCCATAAATATTGATTATGAATGTTGATTAATATGATTATATATTTGTAATTCTCTATAACTAGTGGATCTTTTCTCTCATTTGTGGACGTAGCTAAAATTGGTATCAGAGCAAAGGTTCGAGACATAGAAAGAGACAAGCTTAGAGGAGCTCGATTCAAGAGAAAAGTTTGAGTTCATATCTTGATAGATTGGTTTCTGAGAAGAATTAAAACACACGTAGAAGATTATTATGATAATTCCATTGCAGTTAGAGTCAAGTATGTTTAGCATGAAAATTAATGATTTGATAAAATTTGAGTCAAGGTGAAAATTATTGTGATTGACTCAAATCTCATAAGAGATTTGTTTGAGTTTTTTTTTTTAGATTGATTGGATATTGTTTTATGAATAAGCAGATTTGTAGAAGAAAAATTTTAAGTGGAAAAGAATTTTTGATTGGCAAATTTATATGCTTATAAGTAATGTCAATGTCTATGAAATTAAATATGAGAAAAAAACATAAGAGATTTGTAAGGTTTTATTAGGTAGACATTCTATCAGATTAGAAGAGATTTAGAAGGTCTTTATAAATATATATGTTTAAATATTTGTAAGTGAATTAGAAGAGATTAAGATGATCTATATAAACATGCATGCACATATGTATGTATTTGTTAGGTTGAGAATACTCCATGGGTAGAGCTATGTTCAAAGTAGAAGCCGATGGGGTCTAATAATTAAGATTAAATTTTTTATAATTTCAATTACCAAAAAAAAAATGCTTACCGGTCAAGTTGTTGCCGCCGATGTTCAATACCTTAAGTGAAGTCAAATTGGCGACTTCTAAAGGCACAGTCCCGTCCAATTGATTAGAAGCCAGGTATATATGTTCTAACTTTTTGCATTTGAACAAACTTGTTGGAATTCTTCCAGAAATTTGACTCCCACTCAAATAAAGCCATCGTAAATTAGGAAGGTGATCAAATATATCCGATGAGAGATGACCTACTGAGAGCATGTTGAATCCAAGATAGATTACTTGCAATGAAGAAATGTTGAAGAGTGATGAAGGAATGGAACCTGAAAGCTTATCATTATTATCATAGACGTCTTTTAAAAAAATTATTAAAAATTAGAATATATGAAACATAAAAAAAAGAAGGAAATGTAAGTCTTTAAAAAAGGTAATTAAATATAAAAGTGAGAGAGTACTACATACTTTCAAATATATAAAGGCTGAAAATTTCAATAAAATGACCAAATGTATAAGACATTTAGTTTGATATATAAAATTATAACTTGAAATTGAAATTAAGACAAAAAATATAAAGATGATATTAATGAATATAATATTTCAATTAATCACCTATATAATCTTATGTGATGTTCACTATATATCTTAGGCACACCAAAATATACCTTGAGCTTACCTTCAAATTTGTTCTGGTCGAGGCACAAATGTTTAAGCCAAGTAAAATTCCCAATTTCTGAAGGCATATTCCCCACCAATTGATTACCAGACAAGTATAGATATTCTAACTCTTTGCATTTGAATAAACTTGTTGGAATTCTTCCAGAAAGTTGACTCGACATCAAATCAAGAAATAGTAATCGAGGAAGGTGATCAAAAATATCTGGTGAGAGATGACCGGAGAGCTTGTTAAATCCTAATGAAATTACTTGCAACGAAGACAGATTGAAGATTGAGGAAGGAATGAAGCCTGCGATAAGGTAAATTTCTTATTAGTATTTCAGAGAAGCGGACCCGGTTTGATACCTTAAAAAGAAAAAAAAAAAAAAATAGACATGTTCATTGTACCTTCGAGGTTGTTCCTGTAGAGATACAATTGGTTGAGCATAGTCAAATTTCCGATCTCTGTGGGCAAACTTCCCTCCAAAGAATTGTTATGGAAAGATAAATACACCAATTCTTTGCATTTGAATAAACTATTAGGAATTCTACCGGAAATCTGGTTCCATGTCAAACTTAGTGCTCGTAATTTAGGAAGGTGATCAAATATTCCCGACGGTAGATGACCTGTAATGAAATTATTAGTTTTAAAATCAACATTCTACAATGAATAAAGACATTAAAAATTGAGAAAGGTATCCAATTGCAACCTGAAAGGTAATTATTATCCAAAATTAACCATTTCAAGTTTGAAAGATTTCCAACTGCTGCAGGTATCTGCCCTTTCAAATTATTGTAATCCAAGATCAATATTTCTAGTTTTGACAAATTGCCCAGAGTAGATGGGATAACGCCTGTGAAGTTGTTGCCATCCAAATACAACGACTGAAGTTGAGTGAAGGAACCAAACCATGACGGGAATTCCCCACTGAAGCTATTGTTAGCAAAGTTCAAATATTTCAACCTACGCAAATTAGCTAACTCAATGGGTAACGAGCCTTGGAAACTATTATTGTGAATGTCGAGCCAAGCTAGGAAAGAAAGATTTCCCAAGTGAGGTGGAATGGTGCCTGTAAGACTCATTGCTGGAAAATTCAGAGCAGTGACTCTCAGGTGTCTTGATCCGCAAGTGACCCCAATCCAATTGCAAACAGAGGCAGAAGTAGACCAGTTGGATGCCAAGAAGTTTCGAGGGTCGTAAGTGACATGGGATTTTAGTACAAGAAGAGCCAATTGGTCAGTGCTGATGTTGGGTGAACCGGCAGATAAAGTAGCCCCAAAGGGAGGCAATAGGAGCAGAACCATAAGAGGGAAGAGGAAGCCAATTTTTCCCATAAGGTTAGGCGTGGGGATAAGGCAAATCATGAAGAGATCAGAAACAACTGAGTTTAATCGGTGCCAGTGTACTATTCTAGTGTTAATCGTTCAATATTCTTTAAATACTTTCTTTTCATGGATTTAGCCACCGCATCCTCTGATCATCTTTTGATTAAGAAATACGGCAAATGGTCCTAATTTCCAAAACACAAACATACGGGTACAAGAAGAAAGCCTAAACCGCAAGACTCAATTTCAAGGTTTAAAAAAAAAAAAAAAAAAAAACAATCGGATTATTCATATAAAATTATGTAATAAAATAAATAGATAAACCAACCTAAAAAAATTAATATAAGTGAATAAATTCAAGATAAAGTTGAATAAAATCCGCATATATATATATATATATATATATGATGCGGCTTTATCTTAACGTCATAAAGACAAATTCTTATTGTCTAATTTCAGGAATTTTAGAAATAAGAGAATGATTAACCTAGCATGTATATGTGAAAGAAAATTTGTTAAATTGTAGTAATTTTTAAATCTTTTCAGCATATATTAATTACTAATAAATGTAATTGAAATGGAAATAAGCTTCTTAAAGATGATAGTGATAGAAGTAACTATAAAAACTTGAAAACGATTGAGGCTGAAGCTCTCAACACTCAACAATCAATGCAACAGTTCTAGACATCAGAGACGGAGGAACATTTTACCTGCAATCACAATAAAAAATTATATATCCACTACCTATAAGTGTAAATTTTGTATAATATTTTAACATATTTTACATAATTTTAAACTCAAATTGATTAATTGCAATATAAATAATATAAGTGATATACTTTCGACAAAATTGTGCGTCAAAACTACTAAATTCAGTGCCCCAAACCGTACGGGACACTCTTTTGATGTTTGGTTCAAAAAAAAAAAATTATTGAACTTTTGAGCATATATAGTGAGAGTTAGGAAAATGAGAGGATAGGGATAGAAAGTAACTATACAAAGTTGAAAAAGACAAGAGGTGGAAGCTGTCAACCCTCAATAATATTCTAAAGACTGGAGAGATGGGACAATTCTTCCGCAAATGGCTGGTCATTCAGTGCCCAACATACGGTAAAGTATGTTGATCTTTTCTTCAATGGTCCAGACATCCAGTTGGGGACAGAAATGCAGTCTTACAAAACTCCATCTTATGAAAAGCTCTGTTTTGTCAGAATGTGACAAAGTCTCTAATTTACTTGTTCATCATTATGGCATTCTTTTCAATTCATCCTTCCAATGCCGGTTATTAGAAGCAATTACGTTGCAGGACAAGTAAAAGGATGTTATAGTCTCACAAAACAGGGTTCAATCGTCAACCTTGATTGAAATGTAACGTCAAACTGTAGACACCCCAATCTGTTTGGGGATCTACAAGATATGGATTCCGTTAATAAATTAGAAAAAAACGAAAAAAAGCTGGAAAACAAGAAAAATGATGGTTGAATTTGGGTAGGATTGGGTTGAGGTGTTTTAGTTAGATTAAAGCTTAAAGTTAAAACTCAGAAGGGATTAAAATCCTATCTAGTTTTAGGGCCTCGAATTCACCTTATAAATATCTATAGATTAGAGACAGAACAAACACACAGAAACATAGAGGCAGAAAAGTCAGAAAAGCAATTAGCAATTTTAAGGGAATTCTTGAAGAAAAGAAGAAATTTTTTTTTGGAAAATTTTTCAAAAATTTTTCAATTTTTCGCTGAATTTTTTGACGTCGGTTAAATTTTTTGGTGAGATTCCAGCTACATTCCCAGATTTCGATAAGCTTCCTAGTTTTTGACAGATACTTTCCAGAAACTGGTGAACTTTTCAATGAAATCTCGATGAATAACCTAGATTCCGGCAAGAATTTTCAGAATCCGGTTAAATTCAACCGATGTTCTTGGAGGAATTTAGAGAGAGAATGAGAGAAAAGGGGAAGTAGAGAGAGAATGAGTAAAGGAATTTTGGTGAAAATAGACTGAATTTGGGCTATTTATACCCTCACTGAAATGATGTCATTTTAGCCTTAATAACCAATCAGGATTTGTGAGTTTTTCATTCAACCGACCTAATCTGTAGTGCGACCCACTTTTAACCCGTGTGCCAGCCGCTCTTCATTAGCCCAACCACATTGAGCCACCAAGCTGTGTCCCCTTGAGCAGCATTTTGTGCCTTAAGCCGAGCCATTTTTATTTTTTTGATTTTTTTGATTTAGTATTTTATTTATGTGTTTTTATTATTTTTGCATGATGAAATTTAAAAAAAATAATAAAATAAAATATTTTGAGAATAAATATTAATTATCCAATGATAGAATTTGTAGAAATTTCAATGGTAAATTTTTATAAAATTTCTAAGCGAGGAATTTTATCTAAATTTCTCTCAAATAGTGGAATAATTTAGATGAAGTTTCAATAACAATAATTAATATTTATTTTCAATCTAAAAAAATAAAAAAAAATTTTGGTTGAAAATATTTGACAATTATCCAAGGATGAGATTCGTAAAAATTTAAAATGATAAATTTTCTAAGAAATCTCTAGGTGAGAAAATTCTTTAAATTTGTCCCAAATGGTGGAAGAATTTAAATAAGATTTCAATAAAAAAATAATTATCATATTATTTTCTTTCTTGAAACCAAAAAAAAATATATTTCTAAATTGATCCAAATGGTGAAAAATTTAGAAATAAATAAATTTCTAAATAGGCCCAAATTGTGGAGAATTTAGAAATTCAAAATGAAAAAATATTTCTAATTTGAGCCAAATGGTGGAATAATTAGATATATTTTCTATAAAAATTATAAAAAAAATAATTAAATATTTTTTCGATGACAAAGCCTCTTCAAGAAATCAAATGATATTCTTGAATACTCTTGAGGTGAGAAAATATTTTTAACAATTTTACTAGATTGATGAAAAATCTTAAGAATTATTTCTAATATTTCAACATTAAATTTCAAAACCATTAGAACCAAAACCCTAGAAAAAATTTAAAATAATATGGTACCATTCTTCGAATGGGCATATGAGGGTGCTATAACCTTCCCTATATGTAACTGAACTTTCGAACCCTGTTTTGATTAGTAGACTCGAACCTATTCTTTTAGGGACCCTTAGTCAAGCTTAGGAGTTCCTTAAGATGATAGATTTCTTAGGTAATCAATCACATCTAGTAAAAAAATATTGGTGGTGACACCATTTGTTAAGTCTACCTATAGATTTACAAATCTATATGTTATGACAATTTGGTGACTCCACTGGGAACGCTAGAGAGTTAAGCCATAATTTTTTAATTTATCATATCCTTTAGTCTAATGATTTTAAATTGTAATGATATGTGTTATCTGTTTACTAATGTTTTTGTCTTTTTTCTTTTAAATTTTTAGGGCATGAAATTTATAAGTTCTTTCACATACACCACCACTTGCATTTGCATTACATAAGCTCTATACCTGGGCTCTGTCCCTCTTAGGAGGGAGTAAAGTACCTACGCTTTCATTAGATGATAATTTCCATAATGGTTAGCAAAATACTCTCACTTAAATTGAATCTTTTTCGTTGGTAGCCTGTGATGTATAAGGATTGGAATGCCTTACTAGTTTGTGATGGATGATGATGTAAGGAATAATTTAGGAACCATTAGTGGTCAATATCACCTAACCCTGTATATAATCAACACCTAAGAGCCAACCTTGAGATAGAGCCTTTCCTACCCAATGATAGATGTAACCCAAAGTTAGGACACAAGAAAGAATGGTTTGTGATCTAACCATTTTGTTTATCTGACTTTGTGCATCTGCATTATCATGTCATGCATCATTTTTATTGTCATATGTAATATCGTGCATCTGCATCAGTTTCATATTACATTTCATCCATGAAAATGTACATTTTATTCATACATCAACATATCATGCATAAAACATAACATGTCTAATCATAATTATGGTACTTAAAGTTCAAGGATAGCTCCACCAAGTAAGAACCTAACTCACCAATGCAATACAAGGGCTTGAGCCAGACAAATGGAACAAGAAAATTCCAACCATCTCGAGAGGATAGAGAAAGCCTAAAAGAAGCTTAAAGAGGAATTGAACAGGATTCCAAAAGCTTTATATAAGTTAAACAAAGGAAAGAATGTTAAAGAAAATACTAGCCAACAAGACCATCCATTATAAGAGATCGCTGACCTTATATATCCTCTTGGTTTTTGGCCACAATAAGCCCAGTCCACTTAAGATCCATCACCACAGCAGTTCACATACCCTGTAAGGTATACATACTTAAAAATGCCATCAGCTTCAAATCCACCATAGTATCAGAGTTATGTAAATCTTATCTTTATCAAGAAGGCAGTATAACTAATACTAGTCTCTAATTTGAATGATCTAGAAGAGAAAAAGAAGTTAAAGCCAAAGGAGAATGAGACTTTAGAAGCTTCAAAAGCTAAACGAAAGATAAACTTATTAGAAGAAAGGTTACGGGCCGTAGAAGGCATTGGTTTTTATGGTTCAGTGGTGCTGCTAGACTCTGTTTAGTCCTAGATGTGGTTATTTATCTGAAGTTCAAGGTTTCGAAGTTTGAAAAGCATGACAGTACAAAGTGTCCATAGACCTATATTACCATGTATTGTCAAAAAATGGCTGCCCATGCTAATAATGAAAACCTCTTAATGCGTGTGTTTCAAGACAGCCCCACTGGCTCTGCTGCTAGGTGGTATGTTCAGTTGGATAGGAATCGTATTCGTTCTTGAAGTGATATAGCCTATGACTTCATTAATCAATATTGACATATTATAGGCTTAGCCCTCAATCGCCTGTCTTTGCAGAACATGAAAAAGAAGGTGACTGAATCCTTCAAGGAATATGCCTAGAGGTAGAGAGACATAACTTCTCAAGTGTAACCCCCTTTGACCGAAAAAGAGACTACAATATTATTCGTCAATACTTTAAAATATTTTTATTATGAAAAAATGATAGGGAATGTAAT